ATGCCCCCTAATTACCTACAAAAGAACAAATATACGACAACTCTTGTCGACCGCTCGGACGATTTAGCTGCTGTGGGCGTATGTTTAGTTGCCTGGCAACCTATCTTTTCTTTCTTTTGTTTACAAAAATTCTGGTTGTCTAGTGGTGACCGTCATTACAGTTTGACCTAATTCTGAAAGTGACGTTATTCTGGACAAAAGTAGTATGTGTACAAGCCATTGAATACAACCATAGGTTTTTCAATGGCTGTATTCTATGGCTGTATTCAATGATATTTGCTTGTATTTGCATGTAGTTATAGAATAAATATGATTTCTTGATTGATGATATGTCTCTCAAAGATGAGACATTTAAAATACTACACAAGCTACGTATAATCCAGAACCTTAATGATGTGAAGGAACAAATTTTGTGTAGAATGGATTGCATAAGATCATGTCAAGTCATCATAGAGATTCAAAGATGACTTAATGCCCTTCAACTAAATCAGAGATCAGGTCAGACTGCCTGTCTTTACAAAGCTCATGTCACAGTCAAGTTAAGATTTTATATGGGTCCTTAAACTTGATGTTTTCTAAGGGGTAGTCATTAATGTCATTTGATTAGCAGATAGTCTGTCGTCTCTATTATATTCTACTGTTATCTGGCCAGAGGTGAGGCCGTTCCCTAGGGGAGTTGTACAAGGAGTGTATCTGTTAATCAGAACAGATGAGACAGGCTCTTGAAAAGTTTCTTTTTTAAGGTTATTTTTGAGAGTTGCCTTGTGACAAGTGTTAAGAAAAACAACAATAAAACGATCTTAACTTCTCATTTGTCACATATATTATTTTAGATAATTTCGTTATCAAATTCCTGTTTAAATCTAGAATTCAGTGTCAGGGAGTTATACTTGAGTGTCACAGCAGGGTACAGGTTTTGTAATAATGACCCAATTTGTGTATGTCAATATAAATTATGACTTGTGAAATTATCTGGGTTTAATTAACTTTTTGGTAAAAAAAAAAATTGACTTTTTTAATTAGGAATGAAGGAAGTGTCAGAAGACTGTCTGGGTCAGTCTAGCTGGGGGCAATGTTTGACATAAAAGTTGCTGAAAAAAAATTATCAAATATTTTGTTCTGTTTTCATTAAAGAGATTTTTAATTAATCTCATGGATATTTTAAAGTGTTATATTTGGCACCCAAACGGTGTAGATTTTGTTTAAATGTTAAAAAGACATTAGTGCTTAGGCAATCTTGTGCATTCAGTAAAAAAATAATTTTATAATTAGACACAAGTTGACAATGCAGTACAAATTGTATACAAAATTTTAAAAATAATGTTCAAAACGATTGGTTAATACATAGACATTTTTACTTTCAATTTATGAGATGCAAGCATTTTTTTTAGGTTTTCAAGGAGTTTAATGAAAAATTCCTTACTTAAAAAGCAGATCGAGGCATGGATTTGTAAGGTTATTTTGAATAATGCATTTATTTTCTTAAAATGCACATAAGATGGATGTGAAAACTTTTCGATACGTGTAGCCAATGGTTACTATATCCACTTTACGGAAAGTTCACACCAATCTGATTGAAATTAATTCAGGTATCTTCACTCAAAGTTGTAAAAATAGACCTCCCGTAAAAACGACTTTGCGAATTATGGAAAACACTTTTAATTCCCTCAGACGCCAGTGACGTCACAGTGACTGAATGCTTATTCGGAATGTTTATTCCTTAATTACCTATATACAGCCATACAGCCGGCGTGTGTATTCATTAACACCTGACTGATTCCTTAATCCCCCTAAATATATAAAACAATTGACTATGGATTAATTTGTTTTGTCATTCATTTTAATTTAAGATCCAATTTAGAATTTGTTTCATAATGTACGGTCGCTCTCTTTTCTCACCGATTTTGATACACTCTACCATCGTGTGCAGTCCAAACAATTTGAGATACATTTTCGTCAGAAGAGTATTGTGGTTCTAATTTCCCCAAGTAAAAGAGTACAGGAATAAAAAGATATGGTCATGCAAAATGTATCATAAAAGTCAAACATGATTGAAACGCGATTTGTTAATGACGATCCGTTATCATCGTACGCGCCTTTCTTTCTGCATGCGGATATGACTTCATTTCTCTGAAATAGACCGTAAAAATGAAATGCAAAAAAATATTTCAATATTCGTTAGAATTAACAGTACAAATAAATTTTGTTGGAAACCATCTAAATGGAATAACAGATTGAGAAGGGTCATCTAACTATCTTTGTGTATTGAATATAATATGGGTGTAGTGTCGTTAATATCTGTCATTAATTAATCAATCCGACTAAAGTTATACAGACATAGGCTCATAAATTAATTTACACCTCAGTGTTAGCAGTGAGTGTTAGTGGGATTAAGAATGCTGATTAGGTAATTATCTTTTTTTACGCCGGCCAGATCAAAGACATCACTCTAGGTGGAACGTTTGCGTAATACACCACGGACGAACTAGTGGTAGAATTGTACACACACACACATTAATTGTATAAAATAATTAAGTTTTATCATCAGTTGTTTATAATTATTATTTACCCAATAATTATTGCTCACCAGTGTTTTTGTAATCAAGTAGCCTCGTATTATTTGTTGATTGCCGTTTAAACAACATTTAATTGACTTGATATGAAATCTGAATATATAAATTATTCTATGGATAAACGTTTGTGATACGATTAGGTAATAATGTCGAACATCGTTTATCTTCTTTATAATAAAAGTATTTTACAATTGCATTGACAGTTTAATCATTCACCAAACGGCATCAGCAACTCCATATATGATCATGTGTATTTGATATTCATGTCCATGAATCCCATGCAATTTTTGCAACAAAGTTTAACCTCAGTTACTACGGCTGTAGTGCATTCAACCGTACATGGTAATAAGATTCCCAGGGTTGATTGGCTGAGAAATGAGGGCGATCTATTGTTATGCATATTCATCGGAAAATTCCATATACACTGTGAATTTCAAATGAAGTTACGATAAAAGTTGTTCTTTGTGTATAAAAATGGTTATTATTATTATATATAGCTAATAATGAATATATATCGATAAATGACTTGCACCATTTGTATTTCTGTACTTATAGAGAATAGTTTGTGATATCAAGTATTACGGGGTTATCCAAATTACCGGTAAATGCGCTAATTACTTTGGTCGTCTTCATTTGACACTTGGCCTATTTAAAAAAAGGCAGCTTAAATGGATCTACGGCATGATACGTCTTTTTAAATTCACTCTAAAATATTCCAATCACAAATGTCTAATCTATAACAATGTAAGACAATAATTCGGTAATTATGATTAGGCCAGTCACGTGGTAATTGGACCGTCAATAGATGCTTGTCAATTGGTGGTGTGTATTGATAGTGCTATATTGTACAGACAGTGAGATATTGTATAGATAATGTATATCCTATGTGTAGTGCCTGTGACATCACCAGCCAATCAACCGGATTAAGGTCATAATTGAAAAATTGAAAACGTTTTGGCGTGTTGGATACTTAAACGTTAACAGCTGACTTAATTTTAATCAGATTGGTGTGAACTTGCCGTAAAGTGGATATACTGTAGTAACCATTGGCTATACGTACATGAAATTTAGATATTTCATCAAATTTAGATATTTCATCTTACGTGGTCTTTAAGAGTGATTGATAATATCCCATTAAATATAAAATATTTTGATTTGATTTAAGAGAATTTGCATATTCCAATTAATATTTTGGATATTTTGAAATAAAATTGAATTTTATGTCAAGGATTCAAATAATATTTATAAATAACATTATTTAGTAATAAATCCAAATAGTACTGATTTTGACAAAATGTAAAGTGTTATTAACATTTGCTTCTATCAATCATGCAAAAAAGCAGAAATTATTATTTTATCTATTTTCTTTTTTTTTATAAAACTTTTGCTATTAATGTGTAGGCATGTAACACAAGAGGTGTGTGAAAAAACACTGGTTATTTCAGGACCAACTAATAGTTACTGTACAAATCATTCTAATCTTGTTTTCTCATTAACAAAACTATATTTCTGTCATTATGTGTTTTAGATGCCATTGAATTTCTCTTTCCCAAAATAATCTTCATTATTTCACTAATTCGGTTTGCAGAATTTAGCACACACATTTCCAGATGAAACTGCGGAACTTTTTTTTAAATGTTTCTAAAAGTACTACTGATTTTAAGACTTTTTTAGGCAATAGAATTACACATATTTGTATTCTAAGTAATTAAAGTAAGATTTAATGCAATGAATTCACAGATTAACTGGAAAACAAAAAAAAATATATATATATATATAACATAATATATTTTTATCTGGGAATTTTATATCTGTATGTAGATATTTTTCAGTAAAGAAAAGTTATAAGAAACACAAAAGTTTTGGAACAATTTTTTCTGAGATCTATATGGCTTAATTGAACTCCAACCCTTGTCTGATGAATATGCTGTTAAAGTACCAGTACTATGAGCAGTGGAGAGATTCTGTTATCAAGCTGTTTTATTCTCACAGTCCAATCAAAAATTAAATGGAAAAAAAATCCAAAAGATGATATTTTTGTAGGGATATTTTTTAAAGATTTAATTTTTGTTAAATGAGAAAAAAAATAATGTAATATAGTTTATATTTATGTCTGGATATTTTTTCATTTTTAATTTGAATGGGTTGATGAAAATATATTTTCAGCATTAACAGTTTAATAATAGTTATGGATAGATAAATAATATTTGTTTAAACTGTATTATGAAATACTTCTCACTTTCATAAATCACTACATGAATTCGAGTAGGTCTGTATTCACATGATGGGTGAATGCAAAACTTGCAAGTTTTGAAAATTCTATTCATTAGCATGTATAGAACATGTATTTGTGAATGTAGAATTTAAGATATATAAACCTTTACTTCATTCGAAGATTAAGTGTGTAAATAAAATTTGTCATTATAGATGGGCTAGAAGGGAAGATGAACTAAAATGGCGGACGAGGGAACAAATGTACAGGTTAAAACGGAAGCAGAAAGTTCAGATGGAAGTCCCCCGCAAAATAAGGAAGGTAAGTAAAATTAGATATTGCAGAATGTATACCATTACATACATAGTATACAGATGTATACATGTATTTCTGTCTATTCTGTAATTATAATACCATGTAATATGTTAACAACATGTACACATATACTACACTACACACCTAACATAGCACAATGCACAATCAACATTGTACATTATACTGTATTACATATTTACACCTATATCTTAAATTAAACACACAATATGACAACTAATCATTTAAAGAAAGGTGAAAAAGTTACGTTTATTGGTATGATAAAGGAAATACTAATTTTGTATTGGGTATTTGTCACTACGTCACATTGTAATATGCATACAGTAAAGATCATTAATTAATTGAGCAAAATTGTTAACAGTATGATATTATTGTGAATTACTTATATGCTGACACCAGGAGAGAAAAAGCCTGACTGCAGCATTGAAAATGTATACCCGAATTTACCTGTCATTCAATTTACTTGATAAAAAATGAAATATTTTACTTATTTACACTTAATTACTTTTGTAACACAAATGTACCATCTATGATAATCAATACCCCCCCCCCCCAAAAAAAAAATGTCTACCGTGTAAAAGGTCTTTGGTTTAAATTTAGGGACGCTGAGGTGTCAGAAGTGACCAGCTCTTATGCAAACCTGAAGTCCCAGATTCGTATACATGATGTCAGGCTTCTCGCTTTGATTAAAGTAAAAGAGAACACTTTTATAAAGATTCTTTATTTCGTTCAATACAAAAGAAAATGACCAAGACGCATATCCAAGTCAGTTCGTCTTCTTCTTACCAATAGTAGACCAACTGAAATAAAGGACTTTCAGCAAGTTTGCATCGACTATCCCTATGTCAACTATGCTCGCTTTACGATATCAAGGTTTGTATCAAGAGAACGGAGTGCTCACATGCACCAAATTTGATAACACCCGAACGGAACCCTCAAAACAATTAGAAACTCATAACTTTACAATAAAATATAACACAATAATTTACGCCTGCCTCAGCCAGAACAATCAACATTTGTGCAAAGGGAAGCGAAGTGCGTACAACTGTACAAGCACCAAACCTTATAACACCCGAACAAGAAACGCAAATCAATTAGAAACTAATAACTCAACAATAAAATATAACACAATAATTTGTGCTTGCCTCAGCCAGAACTAATAATATTTGTGCAAAGGGAAGCAAAGTGCGCACAAGCACCAAATCTTATAAAACCCGAACAGAACCTGCAAATCAATTAGAAACTTAATCCAACTTCAAAATGCTCCCTAAATTTGAAACGCCCGTTTTAACCATGTAAGTGGAATAAGTAATTACTCCTGTAAGACTCACACTCTGCCAAAAGACGAAACTCTACCCCCGAACTCCTGCTTAACCCATATGGAAAAAGTAATTACTCCTGTAGGACATGCAAGCTGTCCAAAGACAAAGCTTCCCCTTCCCCTTCAACGATTTCTGATAATACTGCCAAAGTTATGGCCATTGATCACTTTGAAAAATCTTGTGACGCTCTAGAGGCTAAAGCTATCATTGATACACAGAGTTTAAGATCTTGAGACAAACAAGTGTATTGATTTTCATTGAATTTTTGTAAAAGACTTGAACAGCTAAATCCATGATATTAAAAGTTTCGTATACTAAATGTTAGCATGGGGCAGAACTTTATAAACACCAAACAGATTCTAATGGTTTTCTGATAATTACTTCATGAGTTGTTACTCTTAGTCTTAATCCAATTTTAGTGTATTATAAATGTTTCATTACGGAAAAATGTAAAAATATACGACAACACTTGTTGACTGCCTGGACGATTTAGCTGCTGTGGGCGTATGTTTCGTTGCCTGGCAACCTATCTTTGAATGTATAAAATGATTTTGAGAGCGGCGTAATAGTGCACTGAAGTAAAGATTTACTTTTTACTTCCGAATTGTTGTATTTTAAAACTTGTTGTGGATGTATTCAAAGAATTTACTGGAAATCACAAAATCTCGTTTGAAGGTTAATAATCAATTTTAAAATACTTTGATATTTTATAATGTTTTTGGTGTCAAAATGTTGCTTATAACCTCTACTTTTAATCCATTGTTGTCGCCCCCATTCGTCTGTCCAGTGTCCACAATTGCTTGTGGATGCTCTAGAGACTGAAGTTAATATCCGATTCACTTTAAATTTATACACAGTATTTTATAAGGTCATGAGATGAAGAAGCCCATTGATTTTCACCAATTTCCGATAATTACTGCAAAGCGTTATGCCCCTTTATCACTTAGAAAAACCTTGTGGACGCTCTTGAGGCTTAAGTTAAATTTATACACAGGGTTTAAGGTCATGAGACGAATAAGCCTAATTACTGCCAGAGTTATGACCCTTTATCACTTGTGGATGCTCTAGAGGCTAAAGTTAATATCCGATTGACTTTAAATATATACCAAGTGTTTAAGGTCACGAGAAGAAGACGCCTATAATTTATTTTCAATGATTTCCAATAATTACTGCCAGAGTTATGGCCCTTGATCACTTTGAAAAATCTATTGGATGCTCAAGAGGCTAAAGTCAATATCCGATCGACTTCCAATTTATACACAGTGTTTAAGGTCATGACACAAAGAAGCCTATTTACTTCCAACAATTTTGGATTATTACTGCCAGAGTTATGGCCCTTGATTCTAATTGAGTGATAGTGTGCATAGTTTCATTACATCAGTACCTTAACAATGTTCGATGCTGAGCATTTTCTGCTCAGGCAAAGTAGAGACTACAATCTGATTGGTCGAGACTTTGGAACACAATAACTCTCCTTCTAATTGAGGTAGAATTTTCAAAATTGGTGTAGGTGTCTATTAGGTGAATGCCTTGACAGAGTTTGATCATACGCATTTTCCACTAAGGCTAAGCAGAGATGATAAGCAATTCGATTGGTTGAGACTTTGGAACATGATGACTTTGATTCAAATTGGGTGAGAGCGATGAAACACTGAGTATAGATTCATTGTATCAAAACATCGACTAAGTTCGATGATGAGAATTTTCTGCTTAGGCTAAGTAGCGATAAGAGATTTGATTCCTTAAGACTTTTGAACAGAACAACTCTGCTTTTAATTAAGGTATAGATGTTCATTAGGCAAATGTCTTGACTGAGTTGGGGGGTTGGATGGCTGAATGGTTAGCGTGTGCGCGCTGTATCATAAAGTCTGTCATCGAGTCAACTGGCGTGGTTTTGAATCCCCGGTTGTACGTGGCAAGGAGTAGGGTTGCCTGTCCAACCTCGTGGGTTTTCTCCGGGTCCTCCGGTTTCCTCCCACTGCTAAAGACCCCTACGCGCAAGCAAATTATTGAAATAAAATTAAACCATATGTTAGTCCCGAAATGACCTAGTTTGTGTCGAGTGGACGTTAAACCCCTTCTCTCTCTCTCTCTCGACTGAGTTCAATGATTAATATTTTCCGTTAAAGCTAAGCAGAGCTAAGTACTTTCATTGTTCGATGCTTTGGGACAAGATAACTTTGATTCTAACTGATGGAGAGTGATGAAACTAAGTGTATAGACTATAGTCAGGTACTTTAAAACCTGACTGAGTGTGATTGTGAACATTTTACGCTTAGACTACGCATAGATAATCAGTTTGATTACTCGATACTTTTGAAAAAGATAAATGTGCAATTAATTAATATGTGACATCTGTTTATATTGGGATTACGGCGGGGGGACATCAGCCTCACTGTTGCCTTATTAGAATTTATTTCAATCAGAAAATCAATGATTCCTTTAAAAAATCAAAGTATTGATATAAACGATTTGTCAAGATGCATAGAAATTGAACAGAAGAAGGAATAATGCTAACAGTACCATTCTGGTGGAAAAGTGATGTAAACAAAGCTCAAAAACAGACTTTGCAAATTTTGTGGTATGAACTGTCTGGAGTTTATAACATTATTTATTCATCATTAAAGATATATTAATGGAGATTATTTATTCTTTATATTATAAATTAGATAAAGAGCTGGCAGTTTTCACTATAATAGTTAAAACTAGATAAAAAAAGGGAATTTGCTGAAAATTTCAGTCAAATTGATCCACTCTGAACCAAGATTTTAGCGATTGAATTTTTGGCCTAGCCTTGATCATCATTTCTAAAGTTGGTACGATAAAAAACATAGTCTTACTTATCCATTTCATGATTAAATCATGAATGAAAGTTGAGCAGCAAATGGGATCCTAATTAATCCAGTAAATATCGCAGGGTAGCATTGACATAGAGAGTTGATTATGGCCTGGGTAAGTTATGTCTAATTAATAATTTAGATAATATTTCAGGCCTAAAGAAAGACCTGCAATAGGCAGAGTTAGCCCTTGCATAATGTATGTTTAAACAATAAAATATTGTAAATAACATAAAAAGGTGGACATTATTTTTTCAAATGGGATCCTAATTAATCCAGTAAATATCGCAGGGTAGCATTGACATAGAGAGTTGATTATGGCCTGGGTAAGTTATGTCTAATTAATAATTTAGATAATATTTCAGGCCTAAAGAAAGACCTGCAATAGGCAGAGTTAGCCCTTGCATAATGTATGTTTAAACAATAAAATATTGTAAATAACATAAAAAGGTGGACATTATTTTTTCAATACTTTTGACGGTTTTTATACGCCCACATGGAAATGTGGTCGTATATTGTCGGTCCGTTCGTCCATTGTCCTCAATTTCTTGTGAACACTCTACAGACTACATTCATCAACCGATTGTTTTGAAATTGATATATGTTGTTTGCATTAATGAAATGAAGAAGCCTATTTAATTTCAATAACTTCCGTTAATTTCTTCTGGAGTTATGGCCCTTGTTTCACTTTGTTTCAACTTGTTAACGCTCTAACGACAAAAGTTATCAACCAATCTGTATGAAATTTATATGCATCATTTAAGCCTATTGAATTTCAGCAATTTCCATTAATTACATCTAGAGTTATGGCCCTTGTTTCACTTTGTTG